GCGGTGAGGCGAGCCATAGCGAGTGCTTATCTCCCACAGTGTCATTGTCCCGCGCAGCCGGCGACGCACGTCGGCCTCACCCTCGGCCCGCCGTTCTATGTCAGCGAAGCTTCCCGTCCGCGCCCGGTGGATGCGACCCGTGGGGCAGCTCGCATCGACCTTGGTTCTGCAGTGAGACCGCCGGAGCATTGCACCGTCCGCACCAAGGAAAGCTGCCTGAGCCAGGTGACTATGTTGCTGTGACAGTTCAGGATGCAGGACCTTTTGATCCCAGGGTTGAGCCAGGTCGTTTCATTGCTCAGTCGGACGTTGCAGTGCAGGGCGCGTTGGTGTTGGTCAATAGGGCAGGCAAGGAGCACTTGATCACAACGCGTTTGCCAGCAGTGATTTTGGATGATTTGGTCTGGGTTAGTTCTTCAGGGCAGATTCGGGATGGAAAAATAATCCGGGATTCTGGAATAGATCTGGGAATCCTGACGGTGGAAGAGCGTTGGCAAGGACATCATGTGGAGCAAGGGTTGCCGTTTGTGGGACGCGCCACGGAACGTGGCACCCAAGGCCCCATGTAAGACTACACCGAAGCCTGATGACAAACTTGATCGCTACGAAATCCTGTCGTACGAGGCTGAGCAAGAGATGATCAAGCCATTTTGGCTCAAGTTTATGATGGCTCTCGGACTGTGGTAACTGGGGCCCCTTTTAGCTAGCCTGGGTACGCCGCCGCATGGATCGCGTGTGTTTGACCGTGGGTGGAGTACAGCTAGAAGCTGTCCCGGACCAAACTCGAGGCCTGTTCGTGCTCTTTGAGGCGGACGTGGCGCGCGCTGGAGGTGCTTGGCAGCCTGCTGACTGCCCCGGCAGCCGCCTTCCCCCGCCCTCCCTTCGCAGCGTTGCTGGCAACGAGTCGGACCAAACCGTTGCGGCGCCGCCCCCTCGCGCCCCCTCCCCCAGCCTTAGCCACAGCCGCAGCCGCTCCCGCGGTCCGCACTCCCCTCCGCGGCGAAGCCCGAGCCCGCGACCAGTTTCCCCGTTTCGGAGCCCGTCCCGTGCCACCAGCCACAGCAGCAGCGAGTCCCACGCTTGGCGCCGCCGCCCCTGCCCGGCTTTCCCCGCGTCCCCTACCGCAAGGCACCCCCAAGTCCCACCGGCTGCTGCACCCGCTCCTAAGCCTGCTGCGGCTGCCCCGCGCCGACACCGGCGCCGAGGCAACCGCGCCGGGGTACGCGCACGAGGTGTCGCTCGAGCCCAAAAAGCAGGGACCCCTCGCCAAGTGCCGGAACGTGAGCACCCCTTCGGTTCACCCCCGCCCCCCAGCCCTTTCCGTGTTTGGGTGAACGGCGGGTCACCGGCCTTGGCCGCACGTGGCGCCTCGCAGCCGCGCACTACCCCTGCCGCCCAGGTCTCGGCTTCCCCTTTCTTCCTCCAGCCGGTGCCCCAGTGCCTTCCTCCGTGGCTCCACCGAGTCCGCCCTGTCCCGCCGAGGAACGCGCGCTCGTGAGGCCCTTGAGTGGTTTTTTATTCGATTCACCCACACACATATACTTCTCCGCCGCGGCCCCGTTTTTGGCCAGGCCGCCGGCGCAGCCCCCGAACCCTCACCCGACTTGTCCCTTGCAGGCGCTGCCTGGAGCGCCGGCCAGTGGCAGCGCAGGCTAGACGGTACCACAGCATCCCCCACTGCAGCGGCGCCCTCCAGCTTGCCGTTAGCGCAACCCCCCACCACTCCCCCTCCCGCTAGAAACCGGAGCGCCGGCAGGTGGGCAGCTCCTGGTCCCGTGCCTTGTGCACAAGCCTCGGTGCCATCGCCACGGCCTCAGCTTGCCCACTTCTGCTTCTACCTGTCAATACCTGTCAGGTGTGTGCTTTCTCGTTGCATCCAGGGTTCCTGGCAGTGTGAGGAATTTCTCCTGCTGCTCCCCACGCCGCGGCGCCCTCAGGCCAGCCGCAGGCGTCGAGACATACCTTTTCTTTTGCTTCCGGCAGGTCGACGGCCCTGAGCCTAGCGGGCCAGCCAGTGGTCTTTACCGTTTTCCATTTCATTCTCGCCGACTGTGTTGATCGGAAAAATTGCTTGCCACCAGCAATCTTCCACTGTGTGCCCATGACCTGCCTCTGCTAGTTTGGTTTGCGTGGAGGACAGTCTCCCCAGCCGGACGCCGCGATGTCCCGCGCCTCCCGCTCAGCAACACCGGAGCGGGCTGCCCGCGCTCCGCAGTCCCCGCTTTCAGTTAGTTCGGGTTCCCCACGTGCACCCCCGCCTCCGGACGGCGACCGGACGCCCCCCAACCCAGCCAGTGCTCAGGATGAATGTTGCTGCGTCTGTTTGGAGCGCCTGCGAGGGGCTGCTCCGGCGGACCAGTTTCCAATTCCTGCCGCCGGCACCGCATGCACCTAGGCTGCCTGGCGCAGTACCGCGCGCAAGCCACCCGGCCCGATGACCCTTTGCCGCCATGGACGTTGCCCTGCCACCGGTTGGTCGGGACCAGATGATGCCGCGTTGCGGACGTTGTGCCTCCGCCATGGTGTGCCGCTGCCTGAGCGCCTAGCCGGCGAATCTACGGTGCGCGAGGCTGTCCGTGACTACGCCCTCCGCACGTTTCACGTCCAACGATGCACCTGAACCCCGGCCGCCCGCCGCCAGGTGTTACCCTCTTGTGCTGCCACCGGGTTGCTGCAGTTGGCGGCTCGGCAGGTGTCGATTTCGTGCATCTCATAGATCGTGAGATGCAGAGGGCGCCCGTACGACGCAGGCATAGCGGCATGGCAACCCGGCTGGTTATGCCCAGGCTGTGCGCAAAACGTCAGCTTGAACTCCCTGTCCATCCCGGCAGAAGCTGGAAACCCGTGCAGCCGTTGCGGCGCCGAATTGCGGTGGGTGTTCGACCGCACTGCCGGCAACGCGAGCTGGAGCTGCACCGCTGGGTGCGCTGGCCCGCCCGCATCAACTGCCCTCCCGGCCCCGGCTGTCCCTCCCGCACCCGAAGTCCCGACAGGCCCTCCCGGGCCAGTCCGCCTCGCCGGCGCGTGGCCTGCATCCGGCCCACCCCGGGACTGCAGCAACCTCGCCACCAACTCTTGGCTGTATGTGCCCCTGCTCCACGCCGCAGCGGGCGGACATGCCGCCGGACTTGTTGCAACAATGGCGCACCGACCCCCGTGCTGCCTGGTGGGAAGAAGCGCGCCGGACACTCGCTGCGTCCCACCCGTTTCCCGTCAGCACCCTCACCGAAGCCCTCCTCACCGCCACCAACGCCGCCAGCGAACCGCCGCCTGAACATGTCCTCCAGGAGGCAGCCGCCCTGCCGAGTGGCACCTCCGTGCACATCGGTTGGGTCGTGCGCCGCGTGGCTGAGCGGCATGGCATGACGGCTACATCACCACGCCCTGCCAGGAGGCCTGCCTCGAGCTCTTCGGCGGCCGCGCTTTCTCCATCCCTTGCCGGCACTGCCAAGTCGACGGCGACCAGCCGCTGCTCAGCGAGGTCCTTTCT